ACTTTTCCGGTGAATCCTTCCGCAAGTTCATCCCACTTCTTCCCAGAGAATCCGTCAACCCAGGCAAGCCACCCCAGCCACTTGCATGATGGTCTTGAAATAGTCATGGTTTCTACTTCAATATTGAATGGTTGTTTGCCCATTTAATATTTATATTATTATTTTGGTTATGCTTGTGGATCCATGCTCATCATCATGCTATGTTCATATGGATCCTGTTATTTATATGCTTAATTGCTAGTATTATTATTATCATGTTCATTCTTGTAATTATTTCATGCTAGTGATAGTGATGTGCTCCGATGCATTATTATCGTCTGAAAAGTAGCTCTGATTTGCATGATCATCACTATGCCATGTTCATCTGCATCAGGTAGACTAAGTGCTTTATTATTATTGATACTAATGTTTCATATGTTAAATCATTATGCTTCCCATCCATGTTCAGGTTGATATCATGTTCATATGCATTTTGTCATGCTATTTTATTATGACTCAGCTCATTATCATTCAAGTGAATCTGATGTTAATCAAACTTGAACAACTGTTGGTTGAGTCATGGTTCCATCAAATTGAGCTCACCAGTGCAACCACACCTGCCTGGATGGGGAGGCCCTAATTTGATCTATTTTCATGCCTCTCGCTGGTTCCTCCAACTAGGAAAGGTTATCTGCGCGTGCTACCCTATCCTCGTAGGCGGCGATAACCTTGTGTGTTTGTGTTGTATGGATCCATTCTCCCCATTTGGGACCATTTTTTTTATATGATGGTGGCCGACCATGAAGGTGGCGGATGTCGTGCAGTGACATCGGGGCCACCCATGACTTAGCCCAAAGGGGAGTTTTGTCGGAGTGGTCGGGAGAGTTTCATGCAATAGATTGGTTTTGTCAGAATGTCGTTGGTCCACCCAAATGGGAGCAGAAGGCCATGAATTCCATAGTGTGGGTATAGTGTACTAACCTCTACAGAGTGTACAATCTATCGATAGCCGCGTCCTCGACCATGGACACAGTTTGTAGTAGGTCACACTATGTGTCAACTGTAATAATAATAAACTTGCTAATAAATAACCCCGATTTGATGAAGAGAGAAGTTGGTTGATCTTTATGTGATCATGTGAAGATCACCATGGTTGGTTGGCATGAGTTCATGCGATGATCATGGGTAAAGATCATGCTCCTTGTAGTCACGTGATGAGCACTACGATATTGATAATACCAAGCTTGGTTGGTCCTGAGGTGATCATATGAAGTCTACAATGGCAAGTGATAACATTGGTGGTTATGAGCTAACCTCCGACGTGGGTAAGTTGGTCCTTTGTGCATCACCATTGCATACTAGTGTCAAAGTCATCATGATCATATCTCGAGTAACATGTTCATGCGATGCTCAACTCATATTGTTCTAATGTTATCATGCTCATCATTTTTAACCTGTAAATGCCATGCTGTTGTTTGTATTCATTGCTTTGGTTGGTGTGATCTTGCGAGTACATTCAAGGTACCCCCTCACGATGCACACCGCACCTCCTCCACCGTCCAGCTGCATTTTAGGCCATCACCCTACTGTGCCGATCTTCACCCGCCGTTGTGCCCGCTCTAGCCCACTCCGCTTGCCTGCTGGATATAGGCAGCGCCGCACCTTAGCCCCTCACACTGTCCCAAGGCAACGCTCCTCTAGCCTTCTTTCCCTACGCCGCCTCTCTGCCCGTCGCTGCCCCCTCTCCTGCCCCTGTTGCTCCTATGCCTAGGTACCTGGTGTCACATCATCTCGTGCCAGCTGGCCGCCACCACCACCCTCCGCCCTCATGACCGACGCATGCTCCATTCGTCTCCGCCGACATATCCTTCTTCACGCCCCCTTGTCCAGAACCACTGTTAGAAAGTGCCTCGACATCACCAAGGACTTCCATTCGGATTATGCAGTCGAAGAAGGTACATGATGTTAAACTCAGACCACCTGTATCAACATCAGAATTACGAATTTGTGTCCTTTGCATACATTATTCAGTCTCCTGCAGATTTTTTTTGTTCAATGTTCCTCTCTGGTTGAAAATAAATTTCCAATTGTTTCCAGAAGCAAGTTTGACCTTATGGTTCCTACTCTGGTATAGTGCAGTGAAAATCTTTTTATTGTTGTGCGAACAACTAAACACATGCTCGAGGACTCAGTGATAAAGAATTTTGTTACCGTGCGACGCGTGGTATATTTTTCAGAGACCCAGTTTGTTCCGCCGATAGCTGGTCCAATCCAGTTTTATATTTAAGACAAAAGACAATGCAAAACAAATACTTTTTATACTAATTTTTTTTAATTATTTTCAAAAAATTATACCATATTACAGTTTTAGTTAGTACAAGTTTTTTATATGGTGTAGTAAAAATTATTTTTCTTGGTTTAAAAATCTTTTGAGTACTTTTTAATATTGCATAAGCTATATAGTGTACACATATGTTTGTGTATCTATGCATGTGTTTATATTTTTTTAGTACTCTTCAATATCATGGTAGAGTGTTCTAAATCATACACTAAAAATATCTTCTATGTAAAAAATACACTAAAAATATCCTAATAGTGGTTTCTAGTGGTTCCGTAGACGTGATTACCATTCTTAGTACACATGATTTACATTTTCTACTTTCTTCATTCGCACTATACATTTTTCGTATACAATAGAAATATTGTTCTATACATGATTACCATTTTTGTAATTCAAGATTAACATTTCTCAAAATATAATGGAAATTGTTTTTTAATATATTCCGAATATTTGAAGATATAAACAAATGTAGAAAACCAAAAATGTAAACAATATATAGATAAAGAAAAGACACGCATGAAATCAGCATGACGCGGCATGTGGTTAGTGGGCCGGCCTAGTTACGGCTACCTACAAGCGGGTCGTGCCTAGGTGTCGCTGCTGGTGGCGGCACATAGCCGTGCAGTAAGAGACCTCCTCTCCGCCAAATCCTATTCGGCGCCT